GACACAATCGTCCTCTACATTCTCTTTAAACCCAAAATTCCTTATTGTCTAATCAAACTTCAAGTACCACAGTCTTGAAGTTTGTTTTAATCAATAAATGGATTTCTTTAGGCGGCATCCCATTCGTTCATTTCCTTCCATGACAAAACCTTTTGGTTGTGCCATGTAAACATTTTCCTCCAAGTCCCCGTTGAGAAATGTCGTCTTTACATCCATCTGATGTAATTCTAAATCGTAATGTGCCACTAATGCCATTATGATTCTGAAGGAATCCTTACATGAGACTGGAGAAAAGGTCTCATTGTAATCAATGCCTTCTCTTTGCGTAAAGCCTTTTTCCACAAGTCGCGCTTTATATCTCTCTATATTCTCTTGAGAATCAAGTTTTGTTGTAGACCCATTTATAGCTTACTGTTTTGGCTCCTTTAGGAATTATTTCCAAGTCCCAAACTTTATTGGCATTCATAGATTTCATTTCATCTTCCATGGCCTCAAGCCACTTTGATGAATGATCACTTCTCATGGCTTCTTCAAATGAGGTGGGATCATCCTCCATTTGAAATTCCTTAGTGTTGTATACTTTATAGTCAGCAGGAATATCTGATTTTCTAACTCTTTGAGACCTTCTAGGGGCCTCCACATTTGGCACATCTTCTGTTTGAGGTTGTTGTTGCTCCCCCTCATGTGTGGCAATAGGTTCTATAGGATCCTGAAGAATAGGTTCCTCATCATCATTCATTGTTGCCACAGGCGGAATAACAACAGGGGCTGGCACCACAGTATCTTACACTGTCGGTGTAGCGACAGCAGGTAAGTGAGAAAAATGGCTCATGAATCATCGGAGTGGGAGCATACACCCGCTTCTCTTCAAGGTCAATTTCTTGAGCTGCCATGCTCCCCCTCATCATTTCATCCTCTAGGAAGACAGCGTGTCTCGTTTCCACAAACTTTGTATATCTGTCTGGACAGTAGAAACGAAAACCTTTTGACTCTTCTGGGTAGCCAATGAAATGACAACTTACTATTTTGGGATCTAGCTTCCCAATGTTTGGGTTAAATACTTTAGCCTCAGCAGGACTCCCCCCACACGTAAGTGGTTTAGTGAGGGTACTCTTCCTGTCCACAACTCATACGGTGTTTTGGGCACCGACTGACTTGGTACTCTATTGAGAATATGAATGGCGGTTTTTAACGCCTCCATCCACAGGCTCAACGGTAAGGTGGAGTAACTTATCATATTGCGCACCATATCCATCAGGGTACGATTGCGTCTTTCAGCTACTCCATTCTGTTGAGGTTCGCCCAGTGTAGAATACTGGGCTACTATGCCATTCTCCTGTAAGAACCTTGCAAAAGGTCTAGGAACTTGGCCATATGGGGTATGCCGACCGTAGTACTCCCCCCACGGTCGGACCTGACTATCTTAATCTTTAAATTGTGTTGGTTTTCAACTTCTGCCTTAAATATCTTAAATTTATCCAATGCTTCTGTTCTTTCTTTGATTGGATAAATGTAGCCACAACGGGAGTAATCATCTGTGAATGTTATGAACGAATCATAACCATCCACACTCTTTATAGGAAACAGACCACAGATGTCTATGTGAATAATCTGTAAAATTCATGCGCTTCGTTTGGCATCTTTCTTAATTTTCTTTACATACTTTCCTTTTATGCATTCTCTGCATTGTTCTAAATCTAAGAACTCTAATGGAGGAAGAATATCATTCTTAACTAGTCTTTCTATCCCCCCCCTCGAAATATGGCCTAAACGACAGTGCCATAATTTCGACGACGCATCGTGAGCTCTCTTTCGTTTTCTGTTTACATCCGTAGACGAGGATACATTCTCATTGTCGCACGCAATGTTCCCATCATCGCATACAACATTCACATCATCACGTAGTGATAACAAATAAAGCTCATTTTGTAAGATAGCAAGACCAACACATGCATTATTAAATGTTATCTTACATTTGCCATTTCCAAAATGGCAATCATATCCATCATTGTCCAAGCATGAAACACTAATCAAGTTTCTCTATAAAGAGGGAACAAAAAGTATATCTCTAAGTAAAAGTATAAAACCATCAGCAAGCTCTAGAGAAAGATTGCCAACGGCTTCAACATCTGCTCGGACTCCATTTGCAACTTTAACATGTCTTTCTCTTCTTTGCGTAGTCCTCGTCGAACAGAATCCCTGTAAGGAATTAGCAACATAAATAGTTGCACCTGAGTCAATCCACCAAGTAGATTTCGAATACTGTACATACAAGGATTTATTTATGAACGTAATAATATTCTCACCTTTCTTTGCCATGATCATCTTTAAGTAATCAGGACAATCTTTCTTATAATGTTCCATCTTCTTGCAATAGAGACACTGGTCTTTCTCTACTGTGAACTTGTTCTGCTGAGGCTGATGCAGCATGGGATCCTTTCCCTTTGACTTTGAGGAGGAGTTAGCATTATTATTCTTTTTCTTGTTGTCTTTCACATAATTGATAGTGCCACCATTGGCAGCTTTTATTCTCTCCTCCTCTTGCACACACATAGCCATGAGCCTCTCTAAGTCCCACTTCTCGGGCTGTATGTTGTAGTTGACAACAAAAGTGTCAAATTCTTTTGGCAAGGAAGCAAAAATCAGATGGATAAAGAACTCTTCCTTGAGAGATAGATCCATTGGTTTTAGCTTGGATGCCAAATTGCTCATCCTTAGTATGTGCTCTCTTATGCCATCATTTCTAGAGTACCTCTCTGTCACCAGCTGCTTTATCAGCTGGGTAGCATATGTCTTTGAAGAGCCAGTGAACTAACTCTTTATTCTATCAAGGTACTCGGTGACCGTGTCGCACTCTGGGATTGAGCCCACAACTACAGGCTCAATCGTGTTCTTTATCACAGCCAAACATTTCTTGTTGGCAGTGACCCACTTCCTATGCTCAAGGTCATAGGACATCTTTTAGGATTCAAAATCACTCTCTCTGGTTGCCCAAGCGGCATCAGCCTCATTTGTCTCCCTCACCAGTGCCACAGGCTCAGTGGGACACGGTGAGGTGACTACCCAGTCCACCTCAGCCAAGATGAAGGCCAGGTCAATCTTTTTCTTCCACTCTGTGTAGTTGTCACCTTTGAGAGTGGGGATCTCTTTGATACAACCCATCAAGTTGTATCCGCCTGAAAACACAATTCATATAGAGTGAGAACATAAATAATAACAACAATTGCATGCCTTGATTCCAACATTGGTCAAAATTAAAACATACAACTGTTTATACATTAAATCTACATCACTGTTGGGCTGAAATAAAAATAATGCATAAAATCATTAAAATTACGATATTATTATTAACAACGTTGGTCAGAAAATAACAACATCATAATCATGTCAAAATCTCCTTTTCTCCAATTAAATATCACGTTGGTTCAAAATAACTGGAGAATAAACTATTTCTTTAGCATCGGAAAACGTAAAAAATTATCTATTTTTCAGAAGCATTTCTCTATTCTCTGAAAATTTATCTTGATGGTTCAAAATTTAACAGAGAATTAAAACAAAATTCATCAAAATTTGCTTCTAAAATTGTCAAAACTGCTTCTGAAAAATAAATAAAAGCTTAAAACATTAGCAACTATTCATTTGGCCCGGCCTCTAGAAAACAGTACGCGACCCAGCTCTACAGCGCAACAGCGCGCGGCCCATTCTTCAAAAACGGCCCACGCCGATCGCGTGAGCCGCCCTCCCCTACGCCCAGGCCGCAACCTGGGTCTGGGCCGGGAATTTGGCCCATAGCGTGCGCTGCTGCACCGCCCCGCCTGGGCCAGCTGCCGGTCTAGACGATCTCGGCCGCTGGTTTCCATCCGATGGCCAGGCGTCAATATCACGAGAACAAAACCGCTGCCGCGGCCTTCTCACCCGAAACCCTAGCTCACTCGCCCCTCCCTCTTCTCTATCTACGCCCGCACTCCTTCTTCCTCAACGCAGCAGCAGCGAGCGACGACCGAGCGAAAAGGGAGAGAACATGGCACCATTGCTAGCCCCTTCGTCGACGCGCGCGCTCCCCATGCGGGTGAGAGCGCCGTCATCGAGCGGACTAGCGGCGGCACCCTTTGCCGTAGCTCGCATGGCTCGCTCGTCTTCCCATGCGCCGGCGAGGTGGCAGCACAGTGCACGGCGAGGTAGGCCCCTTCCCCTCTTTCCCTATCTCCTTTTCTTCATCTCCTTTTGTATTTTCTTCTCTGTTCTTCTCAGATTTCATCTGATTGGGGATTAGGGTTAGGGTTAGGGTTTCGTTATGATTAGGATTAACCCGATTCATTTTTCTCTTTTCCTGCCATGCGCCGGCGAAGATGGAGGTGCGACACCTTTCCCTGCGCCGTGGCGGTGGTGACTGGCAATTGAGTGACGCCCGGCACCCCCCGATCTCTTTTCATTTTCTTTTACCCGGTATAGATCTAAAAGCCCTAGAAAACCTTGCTCTGGTACCATTGTTAGGGATATAGGATCACTAGGAGCATAGATCTAGCTGGTAGAATGGTTCTATTCAGGATAAAAGACGCAGCGCATTCTAATACTTGTAGAACAAGAGAGACAGAGAGGGAATGGAGAAGAACTTGTCAAACCCGACACCACAGATGGAGCCACCATCTCATTCATCGGTGAAGTCTGTGCACGGGCAGCGATGTTCGAGGAAGAGGTCGATGAAGTCATCGACGTCGGTGGAGCGGGGCGGTGCGGCTGGTGGCTTCCCGTCACTGGCTGTGCCCCTCTCTGATCGAGATTAGGGTTTAGGTTTTGGTGGGGAGCTTGGCTCAGGCGAACCTCGTACTCAGAGCCACCGGCCCCCACCTCTATATATAGCGCAGTGTGATAGGGGCCCTCTAGCCATACTGGGTTGGGCGCCCCTGATCAGGGCGTGGATCAAAGGCCCAACTGGGTCATTGGGCCCAGTTTGGGATTAGAGATCAATCTAACACATCGGACTAAAACTGACCAACCAATCAAGACTGAGAATCATGTCGTACGAGGATAGAGGCAAAATCTTGATGTCCATAGTGAAAAAACAACCCTGTACCAACCAAGTAGCCGCTGAGAGATAAGAAGCACAAGTCAAAACAGCACCATTGGCAACCTGCACTTGCAAGGATGGGTCAAGCTTCTGAATACCAGGGACAGAAAGAGCTTTGTCAGCACTGATAAACGTGTGAGAGCTGTCAGAATCTATGAGGATAGACAATATCATGCCCTGAATGTCACCAGACAAACTGAATGTTTTGGGAGCCGAAACCCCAGCGACCGCGGCTGAGAGATGCATCATCACTTGCGAGGCTGTTGGAGAACGGGGACTAGCGTCATCAATATCATCGTCCAAAGGAAAAATATCCAAGAGTTCCTGAACCAAATGCAGCTGCGCCACCTCAGAGCACTTATGATCGCGGCTCCATTTAGCCCCACACCTGATACACAACCCTTGGGCGCGATGGGACACCCTCAATGCCTGAAACTTGTCTTCAGCAGTAGAATGGGGAGTGTCCGTTAGGCGTTTGACATCTGCACCAGCGAGCTTGGGTGGAGGAGCTGGCAGAGGCAATGGTGCGTGACACCTAGGCTTCTGACTCGGTGGAGGCTCCAGGCGCCGATAAGGCTGCCGAGCCGTGTTCAGCGCTTCCTCCTACAATTGAGCAAGTATACAAGCAGTATCCAATGTGGAAGGACGCTGAACAAGAATGACTACTTTGATTTCATCACGTAAGCCATCAATAAAACTATGTGTGTAATAGAGTGGGTCGGGATGCTTGGCGTAGGATTTGAGGTCATCAACAAGAGCAACAAATTGATCTATATATTCATTGACAGGCCTAGTTTGACGGATTTGGAATAAGCGACGTAACAGCAGCTCGTGCTCATCCCGGGCAAAGCACAATAGCAATTGAGAGCAGAAATCAGACCAAGTGATGGCCTCAAGCTGATCTTCAACCAAAGACAGCCAATGTTTGGTGTTCCCATGGAAATGCATAGTGGTAGCCTGAACCCACACAACGGACTCAACACGATATAACTCAAAATAGTCAATGGCTTGTTTGATCCACAACTTAGGATGATCCCCCTCGAATCGAGGAAAATCAAACTTGGGAAGCTTGCCGGTACAGCCACCCCCAGAACCCCCTGATGATTGGACTCTCAACGACCACCCGGGTGTGGCTGTGGTGGGTGTGGTGGTGGTGGACGCGTAGGTGGACATGGTAACAGAAGAGGAGAAGGAGGACGGCAAGGCAACGTACCCTTGTCGGGGGGTGGAATTAGAGTGGTGACCACTCCAAATTCACCCTCCCAGCTCCGAAATTCGACATGGTGCCCACTGGGTGGTTCGGCTGTGAATCCGACAGGGGCACGCCAGGCAACCTGGAAGGCGCCATTGTTGGCCGACTTCAAGTTGTTGTTGATGGCGGACTTGAAGTTGGGGGAGATGGCGGGCTTGGCGTCGTGGATGATGGCGCTTGGGGAAGAGGGTGCCGATGCAGACTTGGCAGCCGACGCGGGCACGAACACACCCAAAGTCGCCGACGGTGCATCCACCATCGATAGCTCCCAGTACTTGGAAATCTTCCCAACTTCGAGCTTCAGGGTCACGAGCTTGTTCACCTCGAGCCGCAGGTCATCGACCATTCCCTCCATGCTGGGGCGCCATTCGTCGAACACCCTGGTGGAGGACTCCAACGCGTCGAGACGGGTGTTCGAGGAGGTCGCGATGGCGTCGAGCTTGCGCTCAATTCCACCGAAACGCTTGTCTAGGACAGCGAAGCGCTTGTCGAGCTCCTCGAGCAACATCTTCGTTTCCGGACTCATGGCTCCGCGGCGGCGCTGCAAGCGGGTGAAGTGCTCGTGGTCGGCGACGGAGGTGGGATCCAGATCGGCGAAACGCGCCACAAATTGCGAACCATGGATTGGAATTACGGAATCCTCAACACAAGCTGCAGCTCACAGAAATGGATCGAGGTTAGACCAACCAGATCCGGTGGGTTTCAAACAACCGATGGAATTCAGCGAGTCCGGCGATCAATCGGCCAAGGAACGATGTCTCTGATACCACTTGTGAGAGCAAGCAGTAGATTGAGAAGGATTTGGGGAGGAAGAGCGGAGCCTTGAGGAAGAAGAAGAACAGGTTACGAGTACGGATGGGTGCTTAGTTTGAGAAATAGAATATGTGGTTTACAATAGCGTGTCCCCTCTCTGTTCTCTCCGATAGCTATATGGGTTACAGAGACCAGATCTCATGCCGTGCATGCAAGCGTCTCAGCCCAGCCACTCCTTGCCGATGTACTTGGGGTTGGGCCTCTTGGGCCGTGTCGTCTTGGGCCGCTCCTTCATGGCTTCTTTGGTGGCGAGCGTAGCTGGATCAGCAGGGGTGCTGCTGAAACATTTGTTGGCCAAAAGCAGGGAGAGATGCCAATGCAAGGGGGTGTGGCACGTGTTTGGGAACTGCTTTCTGAAGCGCTCCAGTACCTAGTCCAAAGTACAACCTTGTTCGGACTCTACGAAATGAGTAATAAAGACCATCAAAAGATCAATCTAGAGTTTATCAATAATATATAGATCAACTACTAAGGATGAAAGCAGGCTTGTCTGCAAAGCTGCAAATAGACCTAATTTTTGTGGGTTCTCGGGTTCATGGACAAGTCTGCTTGCATCCTTGTCAATTACAGTTGACACTAAAAAAACAATCGAGTTGCTTAACTGACAGTTCTATTTTCCACAAGCAATAAATATATTATTATTTTACTGTAACCCTACGTGATGCATGTTTTCATTTGTAGGGCCGTGTGGAGAAGAAGAAATTTAGCTCGTTCAACATGCCATACTACGCACCATCTGTAGATGAGGTGGCAGTTGATCAAGCATAGTGACCTATTTGACATTCAAGACATTAGACTCTTCGAGTCAAACTGGGATGCCCATGATGACTCAGATGGTGATGTTGTTCTCGACTGTTCTAGCAGCGCAAAAAACATCGCCAAGATCATAAGAGCTATTATTGAGCCACTGATCAGGAACCAATTTGGTGAGGACATCCTTGACGAGTTGTTCGTTGTGTATGCCTCCGTCCTTGCAAAGAACCTTGAGAAAGGTAGGGCCATGTGCCCTGTCATTGTAGTCACCTTGAAGAAATCCAAGCACAGAAATTGACCATTAGAGCCAGACACCTGCCAGTGTGCATCGGATATATTATCGATATGCACAAGAGGAACCTGTTATAAAGATGATTGTACTGTGTTTATGTTTTTCGGACTTGAAAATAGTGTCGTTATGTTTCAGGAATAATTATCATCTCTTGCCAAGTGATTTTTTTGGAAGCGCATATTTACATTTTAATTGAAAGGAAAAGTTCCCCAATTTTGCATTCGATGATGCATGTGTTGCCACCGTCAGGTTATTACCACTATAAAAATGATTTTGTATTTTTGAAACACCCAGATTCTGCTTTTTTTTTTCTTTTATACATGCGGCTCATATGATCGAAGGGCAGGCAGACGGCAATCGTGGTGATGGCGGTTCTGCTCATCGCCTCATCCAGTCATCGTGCTACTCGGAAACCTCGTGATCTCCGGAAGCTGTAAGAGCTACGCATTCGTGTTTGTAAAAATTCAAACCTATCTTGTCGCTAATTCGCCGGTAATTCCTAAGTACTAGCTTTTTAGCTGACGATATCATGCGTACGTTGCCACGTTGGTAGTGCTAGCACGAGACAGGATCCAGGGAGTCGAAGAGGACTAGAGGAGTCGAGGACGAAGACTGATACGGGAGCGAGATCTACCGACATTCTGTCACAATTGACATGTGTGGATGGCCGCAAGTTCACCACTTCACCTGCTATTGTTGCCTGAATTTGAATTCGGCGTGCTGGCGCCGATCGGTGCAGAGATGGATTAGCATGCATGGATGCAATTGGACAACTGGTGACCCGCTAACCGTGCAACTATAATAAGTACTTTTTTTTCTATCAACTAGCAAAACATACCCGTGCGTTGCACCGGGACATATAATTTATTGTCCAGTACTCAAACATGTCATGCATCATAACGGGACGTAATATTGCGTAGTCACCTAAAGCTAACCTTTGTCTAGTTTAATTGGGTCAACCTTATTTCAGTTAGATATCAAGGCCTATATACTAAATAAATATTTATATAGGCAGCTCCCAGCCCCAAAATTCCTTAAATATAAGCAGTGGGCAACGTCACGTGATCTCCATACGTCGATCTGCGAAGGGCAACCTAGTAGGTTCAAATTCCATCCGATGCCTCAGCTTCTACGATAGATATTCACCCAAAAAGCACAGATGTAATAAATCATTTTGCCACTGGCTTGAATATTCAGGTCCATTCTCTGTGGCAGTTATGCTGGACGATCCTGCAGATGTCACACTTCTATATGATGAACGATACGTTGGTTGGAGCTCCACCTCTCGTTGCCTGTCCGAAGCTGCAGGTCCTTGCCCCTCGTCTGCTAATCTCTTCAAAATGTTCATTATAGCGGGAAGAAACTTTGTGGACAGTGAAAGAATGGCTAGAAGCTGTGTAATATTACAAGCATACCGATATCAGTCTGCAAAACCATTAGGAGGCTTCAAAAAATAGAACAATAGAATTGTGATTTGAATACTCACAAAGCCATTTTGGAATTCAGTGGCAATGTCTAACTGTACCCAAATGGCCTTCCCAACAAGGAAGACAACAAATATAACAGCCAGGTACAGGGGATTCCTGCCATCCAAAAGTCAGAAGTCAGGCCAAAACTGTAGATACCTTAATCAACATTCATGTACGGTTCTGCAAACAAAATAAAATACCTCAGCAATGTCATAAATTCGTTGAATCCGAGGATAGTGAATGCATCAAGCGCCCAGGGAGGTGGTAGCCACTTGTTGTTCCTCTTATTTGCTTCCTGATGAAAGCACCAAATCATGTTTAGCATCTACCTCCATGGCTCTATTCCAAATTGTAAGTCGTTCTAACTTTTCTAGGTACGTAACTTTTGCTACACACATAGATACATATTATGCTAATGTACATAGTAAAAGCTATGTATTTAGAAAAGCCAGAACAACTTAAAATTTGGAATGAAGCGAGTATAACTTTTATATTTGACAAACGTTATGTAACATCCAAGATGTTAAAAGCAACTAAAATTATGATCATGGGCATTATCAAGCATAAGCATCAAGTGTCATATCATAAATGCATTTCATGTTGCATTTATAGCTTTCACATGTTGCATATATAGTGTTTCACATGTTGCATGAAATGATGTCAATGTAATGATTAAGGTTATTTGTGATTTTATATATGAGAATGTGCTTAAACAATTAAAATTTTGCTTTAATAAACTTTGAAGTAATAAATTTATACTTTACACTAATGGCAAGGTTGGGCACTGATAGCATATGAAATATGTTTTAATTTGAGCTCCAAAAGCGAATTAAGCATTGGAATGTACACAGCCAATTTTTGACTAAGTCTTTGGATTTTAGTTTTAATTCAATCTTTGGGAATTTATTAAAATGTTTTTCATATATAAACTTATGCGCAACCTTGGTACTATTTTAAAGTGTGAACTTTATACTTGGAAGTCATACCTTTGTTTGTGTAGATTGATTATTAAATATCCATTAATTAATTTCTCAAAGATGCTTAATCAAATCTGTTTCTGAATCTCTGAATATGATTTCAGTTACAGTTTAAAGTGCATGAATTCAAAACCAAAAATCTTTTAAACCAATGAGTTTCAAGTGCTGATCCTTTAAGCAATGTTGGAGACCTCTGATCAGGAAACAACTTTGCTTAAAGTCGATTAGTGACTCGTTTTGCACAATCGAGAGAACAAGAAAGGGGAAGGGAGAGGTTTCAGTCATGAACAGTGCACCAGCAGCAGCCTGTTCTCCTATTTCACCTGCTTGCCGCCGACCGACCGCCGCCCTCGCGCCGTTCCTTCACGCGCGGCCACACAGCAGCTTCGCGGTGGCAGCGCAAGCAGCTGCTGGCGCCTCTCGCAGCTTCGTCGTGCCGTTTATAGCCCAAGGCCGGTCGCTGTCGTCTTCATTCCTTCTTCCCGCCGCCGGCCGAGCTCCAATCGCCATCGCAAATTCATCGCCGTTACCACAATTCAGCTCAATTCCTCACGCGCCCAGCTTCGTCTGCTCCTTGCGCTTCTCTCCGACCCGCTTTCACCACCTCTCCTTGCCAGAATCGGCCACGGGCCAGGTTCCCGCCGTGGCGGCACGCCATCACCGCCGAGTACCACCTCACCGTGGCCAGCGCGTTTCGCTGCAGCTATCCTCCTCCTAATCCCTGTTTCAGCTTCATCTTGACCTCATAATGCTTATCGGCTCGTAGGGTTTCCCTTTTGTCCTCACGACGTGCCGGAACGCAAGCTCGTTGTCCAGTTCGCGCCACGGCGCTCATCCTTAGCCGACAGCCGCGTCCACGCCACCTCCGCTTCAACCACCAAGATGAACATGATCGCGGTGAGCCCCTGAAGCTTACCGTGCCATTCGTTTTACCTCTACCGCACCGGATCATCCGGCCCGCCGTCGCGCCGGCGTCCTCTGCGCCGCCGAGCCGCCATGGCTGTGGTTGTGCGCGCACGAAGCCCTAATCCGGTCACTTAGCACCGTAGACATGTTCGCGTGGTTGCGCTGAGCCCGTAGGTGGTCTCGTCATCGCCGAAGTCATCGTAGTCGGTGGCCTCTGCCTTGCCGGAGCGCCGCTGGCCGCCATGTGCGCCACCGCGTGTGTTGCAGTACGCTAGAGGATCAATAGTACCACCGAGGGTTGCGAGAAAGAGAGAGG